TCATTGTGATATTTTCACCTGTGTAGAATGAAAGAACAAATTGGTATTTTCCACGTGTATTTTGATTATTTTACATTTGATCAATTCTCAACAGTGGTTAAATTATTTTGTTCATTAACCGATTGAACAAAAGACTCAAGTTATTTGTATTTGTCATCAAATCAGGTTCATTATGTGTCATAATCATCAGCATTTACTTCTACTGTATTTTATTCATGTGTGTTTCCTGAAGTGAGGCATCTTTCCTCACTGTAACAGAAATATGTGGTGTGTTCATGTTGCAGTAAAAGCTCTGTGTGATTTCTTGTTGAATAATGTCACTTTTCTACGCTGCAGCGTGGCGTTAACCTGTTTGCCTCCCTCCGCCTGTTACTCAAGAGACTAATCTCATAAGAAGAGGAAAATCTCTGGTTAAAACAGGGGAAACCTTTGTGTGAGCACAGATTAGAGAAAAGAAAAGGACAAAATGAGAATGTTGAACATTTGACACGTGAGATAAAACAAACGGTATATTTCATGAACATAAAAACAAAACAGGAGAGTTTACTGGTCATGCAGACGAACACAGATCTAGAACTGTGCCAAACCGGAGCGTGGAGCTGGACTCCAGATGTTCTAGTGACAATGTTGGGCGAAGAATATTTGACCAGCGGATCTTTCAATGGTTAATCTGGATGCATGAGCTCGCTCATATGACGGACGGCCGTTTTTATCGGGTCTTGACCACGAGGGCGTTTCAAGGCCTCACGCGGGATCCACGATGCTCAGCTGCTGCCATTTCATATGAGCTGAACGCTATTCCTGGCTCCGACATTAAAAGTGAAATTTTACAACAACGACAGCACTTCAACCACAGCTGCAGTAGAAGAAATGCTTGATGTCTGTGTAACAGGCAGCAGACGTTCTGCTCCTCTGATGGTTCGTCTCAGAAGATAAAACTGAGTGACGTCTCTTATCAAACTGACATTTGGGTTGAGTTGCACCAACACGAGACTTCAACCAGAGAATTCTACTTCAGATCTCAATTTAAAGTGAGAATCACTTTATTTTGTGTTTTCTCAGACAGCTGCTCAGAGAAGCAGCATCGCTCTAATCCCAGCCTGAAACTTCTGTCTCCCTCTACTAACATCTTATTTTTCTTCAAATAATGAGATATAATTAAGATCAAAAGGAAAACTTTTTGGGGGGTCAGAAGAAACAGGTCAGAATTAAATAACCAGCAAATAAGAAGATGATTTACTCGTCACGAAAAACAGAAAAGATATTTTTGAGCAGCAAAAATGTTTCATATGATCATTTTACACATTGTTGGTTAAACAAAAGCAGATTTCCTGCTTCATGTCTGTGATAACAAGAACATTGTTTTCCTCCACTGTGACGATCCATCTCTTGACTGGACGACTACACAGACTATTTATTTATTTACTAAAAGACACGACGTGAGTTTTGCGACCTAGAAAAGAATTTAACAGGCCATTAACTCCACATCGTCCCAAACAGTAATTGGAACACGGCCCTTGTCCAAATTGAGCCTTTATCATCCCAACAATAAAACTGATCAACTGAAAACAAACCTGTAACTTGCATTGAAGAGAAGTTTTGTGTGTGGGGATTATATTTGTGTGTTTGCTTGTGTGTAAAACATGCAGAGGAGGGCGCTGTTTGTTTCTCTGCAGGACCCAGCTAACTTGTATTGTCGCTTACATACACTGAATTTAATTATTAGCATTTATTTAAATCCTGGAGGTTGTTTGAATTCATCGGTGAAAGGTTATATCGTCTCCTGTGAAATGTATAAAAACACAACCAAAAACCACTTAAAAGCAAATTTGACTTTATCAAGGCATGACAACATGAATAGAACATTAAGGACAGCAGGGATAGTCCGTCCATCTATCACAAGACAAATAAAGGTTCTGAACTGTGAAAAACACAGAAATAAAGAAACACTACGTCACCTCAGACACAAATCTAGATATGATACAGATAGACAGCAAGCATGATGACAAGTGAATCCCCTGATGTGGAAACAACAAATAATAAAGTGGCCTTTTGGAAAAAAAATAAAACAACAGCACACAGAATCTCTGATATGTTTACAGAACATCGCTGCTTCAAACCCGTAGATTTGACCGTACAGACGACTGCAAGTGTCTGTGGACGACGGTTTTTAGTTCTTGAACATGTCACACAGCAGTTTCTCCATGGGAGTGTTTCCGATGGTCCTGTGGAAGAACAGCAGCTCTATTCGCTCCGAATTCACGAAGCGCAGGGAGGGGAGGAGGAGGAGCAGCTTCCCAAACCTGAACACACACAAGAGACTCAAATGAAATACACTCACTCTACCAATTCATGATGATGGTACATACGTTCACATCATTTTACATATGTTCTAGTCTGAACGATTCATTAGTCTCACATTTATTGGATTGTGTCTTCTGACTGAAATTCAAACTTGTTTATCTATAAATATTATATTTAAGTGTCATACGTTTAATTATTCAATATTGATTAATTACATTAATTGATTATGAAAAATGAACAGGATTATTTTCACATCTCCATCAAACCAACTCATGTCCAGAAAAGTCAAATCCTTGTGTTTAGTGTCTTAACACAAAAATGAAGAGATTTTAGATTTAAAGACAAAATACATAATTTGATTTGATAAATAAGTTGATAATGCAGAAAATGTAAAGGATTTTATATATATATATATAATATATAATTTGCATGTATTGGGTTCCCTCTTGTGGCCGTGAGCAGGTTTGATTTAGCCTCATTATGAATCTATAACTATTCCTCTTTAAGTGCTTAATTAACTTAACTGTACTGTTTTATTTCACAGTATGTGAGAATATTTAAGATTATTCACCTCAAAAAGTCTATGAAATGTTTTGTTCTCTAATTGACTCTTGGACGACAGAGAAAACAGGCCGTGATGTGAGGAGGCAGGACGTTACCTGGCTGGTTGACTGGGGTAGTGTGAGCGGATGTGTTGTCCCAGCATCACCTGAGACTGATCCTGCAGATTCTCCACCTGCTCTGGATCCTTCAAACCTCGAGTCTCTGCAGACGAGAAAGAAAAACACCGACATGAGTCAAATACAAATACTGGTACTGTGATCTGAAACTCTGTCCACATGATTCCACTTGTTCATATTCATACTGACAACTGAATTAGAAAAGTATAAATTAGGCTATGCTGTGAGAGGAATATAATATTATAAAACAAATTTTCATTTCGGGACATATTTCTCTTTTGTTAAAATAGGAATTTTAATAAAATATAAAAAAGAAATCAGACATAATATTATTCAGAATTCAATTTAAGGATAATCACTGGTATTGACCTCTGCTGAACTAGACTGGATGATGTGGATGTTTGCTCTGTTTGCAGTAAAAGTTCCTCACCTGGCTTGAAGAGCACGATGGCCTTGAGGCAGGCAAACTCCGTGGGGTCGACAGCGAGGGCCTTGAAGCGGCTGAAGACCTCCTGCAGGAGGCGCAGGTCCAGGCTGGTGTAGCTGGTTTTCCCCTGCATGCCGGGGCAAAGGTCGGGCAGGGAGAGCAGCGGGCAGCTGTCCAGTGGCAGCGACCACTGGATGGCGCAGAGCAGGAAGAGCTCGCTCCACGCCTCCTCCAGCAGGATCACCTGGAGGAGGAGGAGATGAAGACTTTTCAGGAGCAGAGAGGCGAATCCTTGTTTTTAGAAAATTATTATTTTAACCTTTTCCCTCACCTTTAAAGTATTTTTATTTTAAATGTTCTTTATTTTTAGACAAGAAGAACAAGAAATAAATATTGAATGAGCTTTTACCTTTACAATTTATTTTTTAACTCTAGTAAAGATTTTGAAACTACTACTTTTGATTTAGTTTCTATAATTTTGAAACGCATGAAGAGGGATTCCATTAAAATTGGTCTGCAAAGTGAAAATGCAAACAAGAAAGTCACTGTCTCTTTACCTGGTCTCTGAAGGGCAGGTTGGAAAACACCGGCAGGTTTTTGGCCCATTTCACCGACATGAAGAGAAGCCTGGCCGAGGTCTCGTACACGTTTTCAGAGCTGGATGGATACAGAGCCATGTGATACTCGGAGGACGCTCTCTCCGGCTCGTTGCTGGTTACGTCGATGTTTTCGTCAACTGAAACGGAAAAGATGAGGTTAGAAACGAGGCTGCAGAGGAACTTCATTAGTTAATGGACTCATCCCATCTCCAGGTAGTTTTGTTGTGTTCAGGTTTGATCAATCAGCTCAAATCCTAATAGAGATATTTGTAAAGAAGGGATTAAATTCCCAAAATGATTTTTCTAAATAGTACATTACATTACAAAATGGTAAAATCAACAGATTCTGATCTTGGGTCAGTCACAAATTTGATAAAACCAAAGTTCATTCAGGGACAGATTCTTCTAGAGCCTCCTGTAGTTTTGTGTCTTTCTATTCGATTTTCTGTTGTAGCTTTTACATTTGTGCAATTACACAAAACAGCCAATTTCAAATGACGTGGATTAAATATCCTCTAAATGCTGCGGCCTTGAACGTGTCAACATCAAATCTTGGCTTGATGAAGCAGCACATTGAATCTACAGCATTTGTTTTTGAGTTTAATCTGGTCTGAGGGTAATTTCCAGGCACAGTGTCAGATAACAAACCCCCCTCACCGTCCTCGGGCTCCAGCTTGGCGCAGGTTTCGGCCGTCATGAGGCTGGCCATGAAGCGGTGGTTGTTCTGGGGACTGATGCAGCGCTGGGGGGCCACGGAGGAGGTGATGGACATGGAGGAGGTGATGTGGGGCCACGTGATGACACTGGAGGAGGAGGAAGAGGAGGATGAGGAAGATGAGGTGGGCTCCCGTGTGGTGGCCAGGTGTTCCTTGTCAGGGTCCACGTCGATGGAGTCCAGGCGGACCTGAGCTGTGCTGCGGGGCTGACGCTCGTTCTGCACGGCTGAAAAGAGAAGATCAGCTGTTCAGACTCTGACCTCACACACTTTTATATCTCTGACACCGAGAGTCAATGTTTCCAGCTTTAACTCATCACGGAGAATATTTCCACACACTCACCGTCCTTGTTCATGCCGGCCTGCAGGCACTTCTTCAGCCGACAGGCCTGGCACTGGTTACGATGAGCTTTATCCACTGCACACATGCCTGTACCGGCCTGGCACCTGTTGACACACAGTACAAGATGTTAACGGGTGAGGACAATGTTTAATTGTTTAATTTACACACATTTATAATAAAATACAAATTTAGATTCGAAAA